CCCCCCCCCCCCCCCCCCCTTTTTGGGTGTTTTTGGGGGGGGGAAACCGGGGGGCCCGTTTTGCGCTCTTATTCGCCCCCCCCCCCAGCAGTCCAAAAAAACCATCCCCCCACCCGGGAACGGTTTTTGGCCGAGGCGTGTTGGGGGTGGCGGAACCCGGCGACCTCGGCTCCCCGGGGGCCAGGCGCCCCAGGCCGGGTCTTTCTTTAAGGCAGGGCGAGGCGAGAGGCCCCGCGGGGGCCGCCGGGCAGGGGTCGGGAGTGAGGTCCTAACAAGGAATTCGGGGTCAGGCCCTGATCCCTGTGTCTGTTCCTGCGTGACACAAACTGCACACACGTGTCTGCGCGTTCCCCGTGTGCTGAGCGCGCCGCTGCAGAGGAGCGGGGCCGCGGGCACACCGGCCGCCGCGGCGCTCACAAAGGGCCGGGCGTGGCGCGGCGACGGCGGGTCCCGAACCGGCTCGGCCGAATCGCGGCGACCCCGTGTACACACACATTGTTCTCTGCGGGAGGATGTTTCTGTGTGTCGGCTGTGTCACTAAAAATGTTGAAATCTGTTCGGGAGATACATCAAAATGCATCACATAAGAGAACAAGAAATGGAGAGCGGGCTGGCCAGTTCATTTCGGGGAAGGGGCTGCGGGTCGGGACCGGGGCGCACGGGGCCCGGAGCGCCGGCTCGCACTTTCCCGGGTCGGGACCCCGCGCGGGCGACTCGGACCCCCGCAGCGCGTGTCGCCGCGGCCGGGCTGCAGGCAGCCAGCGAGCAGCCCGCCTGCTTTCCCAGCTGCGGGAGGCGGCAGGGCGAAGACGCCGCTGTAAAGGCAGAGACCCCGAGTTACCTCGTGCAGGGAAATTCGGGGAGCCTGTGCGTGGACCCCGGTTTAGCCTGGCACCCGGGAAACATTTGCATGTTTGCCAAATGAGGGAGAGCTCCGTCCCCACACCATATATGATCCCCCCAGTGACAACTGACCCCGGGCACACGGCCGGGACTCTCTCGTCCCCCTTCGCAGGGCAGATATTGTATGTTAATACCTGAGCCGATCTTCCTAAAAACATCAGATTAGAAAGGTGGTCCGTGCTCTGTGCCTGTCTCTGAAGCACTCAGGGCCTTGCAAAGCGGGGACCTGTTTACTTCACCTGGCTCTTCCCTGGGCCGGAACATGACCTTCCTCCTAGCAAAGACCGGGTTTCGTCTGTGTCCCGCTGCCATTTCCTCTGGCTTCCAATAGGCTCCAGATAAATGTGTGTGTGCGTTTAAATATGTGTATGAATGAATTAGAGACCCCCGACGTAGTCCCCATGCTGTCTGACGTTCCTCAAGTGGCTTTAAGCCTTTACAGCCCTTATCTGCCAAGAAAGAAAAAAAAAATGTGGGGTTTGAATAAATCCCTGTAATCTGTGCCCTGTCTACCTCTCTGGGGCTATTGTGGTGATCAAATGAGATAAGTGAAAAACCTTTGTAAACTATCAGGTGCTGAGCAAATATGATATAGGATGGTTATTCATTCATTTCCTTCCCTGGGAAAGTGATTTCTGGGCTGGTGTTTTAGCAGATGGTGGTCGCCCTTCCTGGTTAGTCTTAAATATTTATTGCAGGGCAGTCTCATTCTTACATTTAGGAAATCAACCAGGCTTCCATTTCTTTGAGAGAAATGAACAGTGCTTGCACACATAAATAATGGAAGAAAAATTCTCATATTCCCAAGCCACCTCCAGCAAACCCAGAGCCCAAGCACAGGGAAATCAGGAAGAATCCATGAGATCGGCATGGCCACCCCAAGGCGGCACCAAGCAGTGCTAGCCCGGCTCAGGATTGCATGCACGCAATAGTGTTAAGTGAAAAGCAGGGAGCCGGGAGAGGGACAAGCACACTGGCAGAGACGGAGCCTGGGTTTGCCCTGACCCATATTGGAAGGGAGGGGAAGGGAGGGGAGGATGTAAATCATTATATTTGAATGTTCCTTGGCTGTTTTATTTTCCTGTCAAGTGGTTTAAGCCTGATTTTTTTTTTTTAAGCATTCCCTCATGGCCAAGTATGTGTTTCCTTGGAATTGAAATCTAGGTTGATGGTTTTATATTTTAAAAGCTTTCATTGTGACTCATTCTTGGCCTGGGCTAGGATTCTGTAATACTCCCCAAGCTCAAAGAGCCTGGGTGTCCTGTTTCTTGGGCTTCATACCCACTTTCTAACATTTTGTCAGTGGATCCAAGAAGTCACTTTTGGAGACAAGTGCTTCATTGTCTTCTTGTCATCTTAATCAGTGTGGAAGGGAACCATAAACACAGACTTTCCCAGCTCAAGCCAGGCAATGGCATGTGCACAAGAAGGTTTCCAGTGCTAGCAGGTTCGTGGTTAGACAAAATAGGTCAGCAGGGCGAGACTCACCCTTTGGGTGAAGAAGTTTCTATGAGACAGGGCTCATGAAGCCTCGGGGGGGGGCAGCACAGAGTAAGTGCCCCATAAATGGGCAGCATGGCTCATTACCATGGCCATCTTGTTGACACAAAGCTCACACTGGCTCCACTTTCCCTGGAAAGCATCACAGCAAATTCCAGAGAGGAGGGCATGGTGATGGGAACTGGATACGCACTCTCCAGCACGTTTTTGAGATTCTTGTTCTGTGGCTGGGGAATCCAGATGTGTCTGCCATACTCTCATGTAGAAGAGGGGTTGGTTTCAGTGGCCACACTGGACACCTTTGCACTTTGGCCTTTCTACCGCCTACTGTCAGACCCTTGATAAAAGGTCAGTCTTTTATCAAGGTGAGCAGCAAAAGCCCCCAAGCTTAATGAATGTCTCATTGGCACAAATCTGACATAATAGGCCAATTCTGGCCAGATTGAGGAAACAGGAGCATTGGGTTCTATCTCCCCAAAGAGCTGCTCAAAACTATTGAGTATGTCCAGCCTCAGAAAACTCCCTAGCTCTGTCTGCCTTCAGCTACAATGCCTCTCCCAGGCAGAGGGACTCCAGAGCGAGGCAACAGTTTTGTGTTGTCTAGACTCCATTCTTTTTTTTTTTTTTAACCAGACAATTCAGTGGGCATGTCTAAGAACGTCGCCAGCCTCCCCAGTCCCCACCACCTCTGCTCACATGCTGTTCTCATTGTGTGTGTTTCCCCAACAGCCTTCTAACGGACACCTTGTCTTCCCCTCCATCCATCCTCTGCCCTGCAGCCGCGGTGACCTTTCCACAGCACAAATCTCATCACGTCATTGTCTGATTGAGGCCCTGAAACAGCTCCCTCTGGCCCACACGGCAACGCTCAGCAGAAAGCAGGTGCTCCAGGCCGGGCCATCACTAACAGTAACTAATGAAGGGCTTTTCTTGGTTGGCAGGGAAAAAATTAGCTAATTGATGGAATAGTCTCCATTATAAGTGTCCCTCCCCTCGCTTTTCCTTAAGCCTTTGGTCCCCGCTACCACTTGGCTGTATTAGACTATAATCAGATTTCTCCCAGAATCATATATTAACTTTTTTTTTTCACGTATCAACATTTCCCGGTGTTCTGCATGTAGGTGCTCTGCTCTAGCAACATGGTGGAGATGGAGGCCAGGCATTCAAGGCCCTTTCCAACAGGCCCCGCCCAGTGGGGAGCTTTGTCCTTTCCAGGCTTTGGCTCCTGTGGCTTTCTCTGCCTAGACTGTGGGTCCTCCCTTTCTGCTTGGAGAACAGTTCCTTCAGGACCTAGTGCTGCCTACTGCCTGGTGTGATCAATGTTTGTGGAATAGATGAATGGATGAATGGGCAGATGGAAAGATGAGACTAAATATATTAAGTATGAGAGTAGACCAGATAGCCAAGAGCCTAAATGGGTGGCACATGGAGAATGTGGTGGTCCTCTCTCCTGCTCTCACTCACTGTGGCTCGGATTCACTGGCTTTCTTACTGTTCCTCAGACTTTAGCACTTGTTAGTCCCTCCTACCTAG